CCACGACGTGAATGGAGCCGAGCAGATTCCTGGCCGGCTTGGTGTTCACTTGGCACATGTAGATGCCTTGGTCTTTCTTCGTTAGGCTCTTGATGATAAGGACCCACGACTGGGCTTCCTGCGACACCGACACCTTCGGGTTCTTGGTGATGACTTGCGTGGCCACGGTGAGCACTGTGCGGCCGCCTGTGCCCTTGTAGATCCACGCCACCTGCGGGAGGAAGGCAGGAAGTGGGTGGGGTGGGGTTTTGTGCGTTTTTTTTTTTTTTTTTTTTTTTTTTTTTTTTTTTTTTTTTTTGGGGGGGGGGTGGTCGGTTTTGGTTGGTTGGATGTTTAGGTGGAGATATGTGTATACATAAAAGCACATACATGTAAACACACATACACAGCGCGCGCGTGTGTGTATGCGTGTGTGTGTGTGCGTGTGTATGTGTGTGTGTTACTGTGTGTGTGTGTGTGTGTTTGTGTGTGTGTGTGTGTGTGTCTGTGTCTGTGTATGTGTCTGTGTGTGTGTGTATGTGTCTGTGTGTGTGTGTGTGTATGTATGTATGTGTGTGTTTTATTATATGTATATACATATATATATATATATATATATTTATACATGAATGCATTTATATATACACTTAAGAACCTGCAGAAAGAGAGAGAGAGAGAGAGTGATAAGATCCTTACACAAGCAAATCCCCAGTTTCTCTCATAACAACAAGGAAACATCATTTTCGTATTATTTGGCAAGGTATCTCAGTCTTCCCCTCTGTTTATTTATCATTTTGCTGAGTGTACACTCTGATTTCCTTTTTGCTCACTGTCAATATCGGGAACATGAAAAAGCGGGAACAGGAAAAAAAAATGAGATAAAATGTTATGCAAGATTTACTGAGACTGAAAGAGAGAGAGGGGGGGAAGGAGAGAGGGAGGGAGAGTAAGAGAGAGAGAGAGAGAGAGAGAGAGAGAGAGAGAGAGAGAGAGAGAGAGAGAGAAAGAGAGAGAGAATGAGAATGAGAATGAGAATGAGAAAGAGAGAGAGAGAGAGAGTAAAAGAGAGAGAGAGAGATAGATAGAGAGAGAGAGAGTAAGAGAGAGAGAGAGAGAATGAGAATGAGAGAGAGAGAGAGAGAGAGAGAGAGAGAGAGAGAGAGAGAGAGAGAGAGAGAGAGAGGGAGAGAGAGAGAGAGAGGAAGAGAGAGAGAGAGAGAGAGAGAGAAGGGGGGGGGGAGAAAGGGGTAGGGGTAGAGAGAGAGAGAGAGAGAGAGAGAGAGAGAGAGAGAGAGAGAGAGAGAGAGAGAGAGAGAGAGAGAGAGAGAGAATGAGAAAGAGAGAGAGAGAGGGGAGAGAGAGAGAGAGAGAGAGAGAGAGAGAGAGAGAGAGAGAGAGAGAGAATGAGAAAGAGAGAGAGAGAGAGGGGGAGAGAGAGAGAGAGAGAGAGAGAGAGAGAGAGAGAGAGAATGAGAAAGAAGGGAGAGAGAAAACGAAAAAAAAAGAGAAAGACAAAAATAAAAAACTAACAGAAACAAGATGAGCTACAAAACAGACAAAGACAAAAACAATAAAAAAAAAAATACCATAAAAAAAATAAAAGGTAACGAATCAGAGAGAGAGAGAGAAAGTGAGAAAAGAGTGAGTGAGAGTGAGAAAAAAAAAACGATATTGGCCATATGGAATCAACAGGTGGTTTAGAAATTCGAAATTCTTGTCATCACAACATGTTTTTAAGGAGAAGGTCTCGAACTCTTGTGAGATTCAGCCGTTTGCGGAAAAAGGGGAGAGGGGGAGAGAGGGGAAGGGGAGGAGGGGAGAGGGGGAGAGAGGGGAAGGGGAGGATGGGAGGAGGGGGAGAGAGGGGAAGGGGAGGAGGGGAGAGGGGGAGAGGAGGGAAGGGGAGGAGGGGAGAGGGGAAGGGAAGGAGGGGAGAGGGGGAGAGAGGGGAAGGGGAGGAGGGGAGAGGGGGAGAGGAGGGAAGGGGAGGAGGGGAGAGGGGGAGAGAAGGGAAGGGGAGGAGGGGAGAGGGGGAGAGGAGGGAAGGGGAGGAGGGGAGAGGGGGAGAGAGGGGAAGGGGAGGAGGGGAGAGGGGGAGAGGAGGGAAGGGGAGGAGGGGAGAGGGGGAGAGAGGGGAAGGGGAGGAGGGGAGAGGGGAAGGGGAGGAGGGGAGAGAGGGGAAGGGGAGGAGGGGAGAGGGGGAGAGGAGGGAAGGGGAGAAGGGGAGAGGAGGGAAGGGGAGGAGGGGAAAGGAGGGAAGGGGAGGAGGGGAGAGAGGGGAAGGGGAGGAGGGGAGAGGGGGAGAGAGGGGAAGGGGAGGAGGGGAGAGGGGGAGAGTGGGGAAGGGGAGGAGGGGAGAGGAGGGAAGGGGGGAGGGGAGAGAGGGGAAGGGAGAGAAGGGGAGAGAGGGGAAGGGGAGGAGGGAGAGGGGGAGAGGGGAAGGGGAGGAGGGGAGAGGGGGAGAGTGGGGAAGGGGAGGAGGGGAGAGGGGAGAGAGGGGAAGGGGAGAGGGGGAGAGAGGGGAAGGGGAGGAGGGGAGAGGGGGAGAGAGGGGAAGGGGAGGAGGGGAGAGGGGGAGAGAGGGGAAGGGGAGGAGGGAGAGGGGGAGAGAGGGGAAGGGGAGGAGGGGAGAGGGGGAGAGAGGGGAAGGGGAGGAGGGGAGAGGGGGAGAGGAGGGAAGGGGAGGAGGGGAGAGGGGGAGAGAGGGGAAGGGGAGGAGGGGAGAAGGGGAGAGAGGGGAAGGGGAGGAGGGGAGAGGGGAAGGGGAGGAGGGAAGAGGGGGGAAGGGGAGAAGGGGAGGGGGAGAGGGGAAGGGGAGGAGGGGAAGAGGGAGAGAGAGAGAGCGGAGAGACGAGAGAAGGGGGGGGGGAGAAAGGGGTAGGGGTAGAGAGAGAGTTGAGAGAGGAAGAGAGAGAGTGAGGTGAGAGAGAGAGCCGCGAGAGAGAGGGAGATGAGAAGAAAAGAGAGAGGAGAGAAGAGAGAATGAGAAAAGAGAGAGGAGAGAGGGGGGAGAGCGATGGAGAGAGAGAGAGGGGAGAGACGAGAGAGAGAGAGGAGAGGGAGAGAGCTGAGAGAGAGAGCGAGAGAGAGCGAGAATGAAAAGAAAGAGAGAGAGAGAGAGGGGGGAGAGCGAGAGAGAGAGAAGAGAGAGAGCGAGAGATAGAGAGAATGCGAAAGAAGGGAGAGAGAGAAAGACAACAAAAAAAAGAGAAAGACAAAAAAAACAAAACTAACAGAAACAAGATGAGATACAAAATAGACACAGTACAAAAAACACTAAAAAAAAAATACCACAAAAAAAATAAAAAGTAACGAATCAGAGAGAGAGAGAAGGAGGGGAGAGGGGAGAGAGGGGAAGGGGAGGAGGGGAGAGAGGGGAAGGGGAGGAGGGAGAGAGTGGGAAGGGGACGAGGTGGAGGAGTGGGGAAGGGGAGGAGGGGAGGAGGGGGAGAGAGGGGAAGGGGAAGGGGGAGGAGGGAGAGGGGGAGAGAGGGGAAGGGGAGGATGGGGAGAGGGGAGAGAGAGGGGGAAGGGGAGGAGGGGAGAGGGGAGAGAGGGGAAGGGGAGGAGGGGAGAGAGGGGAAGGGGAGGAGGGGAGAGAGGGGAAGGGGAGGAGGAGGGGAGAGAGGGGAAGGGGAGGAGGGGAGAGGGGGAGAGAAGGGAAGGAGAAGGAGGGGAGAGGGGGAGAGAAGGGAAGAGAAGGAGGGGAGAGGGGGAGAGAAGGGAAGAGAAGGAGGGGAGAGAAGGGAAGAGAAGGAGGGAGAGGGGAGAGAAGGGAAGAGAAGGAGGGGAGAGGGGGAGAGAAGGGAAGAGAAGGAGGGAAGAGGGGGAGAGAAGGGAAGGGGAAGGAGGGGAGAATGAAAGCGAGAGGAGAGGGGGGGGGGTGAAGGAGGGATGGTAAGCTATGGCGTGAAAAATAGGGAAAAAAAGATAGGGGGAGAGAAAGGAAGGGAAGGAGGGGAGAGGGGGAGAGAATGAAAGCGAGAGGGAGGGGAGGGGTAAAGGAGAGATAGAAGGCCATGACGTGCAAAATAGGGAAGGGGGGGGGGAACGACGAGAAAGAAAGGAGGAAGGAGAGAAGAGAAGGGAATGAGGGGAGAGGAGAATAGAGGAAAGGGAATAAGGGGAGAGTGGAGAATGAAAGCAAATGGGAGGGAGGGGGGGAAATCGACGAGAAAAAGGAGGGAAGAGAGAAGGGAAGGGAATGAGGAGAGAGGAGAATGAAGGGAAGGGAGAATGAAAGCAAGAGAGCAGGGGTAAAAAGCTATGACGAGCGAAAGAGGGAGTTGGGAAAACGACAAGAAAGAGAGGAGGAAGGAGAGAAAGAGAGATGGTAGTCGATAAAGTAAGGTAAAAATAGAGAAAGAGGGGATACAGCAAACCGATTAACAAGCGAATACAGAGAGACGAAAAGAAAAAACGATGATAACGTAATATTAGAAAAAAATACAAAGAAACAAAAAGAAAAACATAAGACAAACAAATGACATTTACAACCAAACGAAAAAAAGACACATGCAAACAGACAAACAAACGATATAAATAACTGACCTCAACCAGAATCAAACAAAGAAGTTGGAAAATTCGCTCAAGAGTTAAGTGTTTTTTTCCCAAAAAAAGTCACGCGAAATTTACGAATTTAGCGACGACTGTGAATCTTCTGACTAACTCGTCTGACGAAAATACACATGAGTATCGGTAATTCTTTATCTCCAGATAACATCTTGTTCTCAACAAGCATTTTCTAAACCTATTTACCACCTTGATAAATGACAGCAACAAAATAAATATTCTAACCAACCTGAGAAATAGTGACAACAATAACAACTACAACAAAAAATAATTTGACCACCTTCATAAATACTGACAACAAAGTAGACATTTTAACCTCCTTCACAAATACTGACAACAAAATAACACAGTCTAACCACCTTGACAAATACTGACAACAAAATCAACATTTCAACTACCTTGATAAATACTGACAACAGAATAAACACTTAAACCACTTTGATGAATACTGACAACAAAAGAAACACTTAAAGCAACTTCATAAACACTGACAACAGAATAAACACCATGATAACCACTGACAACAAAATAAACCTTTTACCCACTTTCATAAATACTGCCTTCACAAACTTCACACACGCTTATAAAAAGATATTTTCCTCAGAATGGTATATGATAAAATGAATTCGACGAACACAATATCACAAGAAAAAAACTTGT